AATGCGGAGGCCTCTCCCCAGATTTCGCCACGGCCCAGACAGAGCAGCCGCCGGGGCAGGGGGCTGCACCACGGGGCAGGGCCCGCTTCCTGGGCAGACGCATTTCGGGTCTCCGAGACCTCGGTGCTGAGGCACCAGAACACCCCCAGATTCCTCACTTCGCTCTCAAAAGCCCCCGGGTCGCAGCCTGAAGCCTGTGCCAAACATTCCTTCCATCCCAAAGTGCAGGCGGGAAACCGGAAAACAAAGACGCAGGACCAAAAAGTGGGGAGAGGAGAAAGTCGGACGAACTCCAGTCATCGTCCCCCAGTGGAATGGAAGCTGCGTATGATTTAAAAAAAAAAGAAAGAAAGAAAGAAAAAGAAGAACCTGAGCTCATTCGGTGGCTGCCCAGCCTCTGTGGAACGGCTGTAGTCATTCTGCCACATGCAGCTGGAAGGGAGCGGCCTCCGGCGGCCTACGCCCCCCTCCCAGCCAGGGCTGCGCGAGCGTCTGCCTTAATTATACCCAACCCCTGCACCTTGGGAGGAGAGACGCTTTCCTTATTGTTTTTATGCCCAAGGAGGCTGCGCCATATGATGGAGACGGTCTTACCCGACTTAGTTTACAAAAGACGGTTTCCTTCCTTCGTCAAGCGCATAAAAGCACAGCCAGGAGGACATCTGGGAACGCTCGACCAGGATATTGGTTACTTGCTCCTCCTGCGGGGAGTTCCCAACGCCCCCCGTTATTTCTCCGGGACCAACGCTCTCCCAGAGCCCCCGCTCTCCCAGAGCCGCGTCCTCGGCTGCCCTCACGTCACTGCTGGCCGTTGTCTGGAGGCCCGTCACCTCTTACGTTATAAGAATAACTCCTTTGTTCAGACCCAAGAGGACGCCCAACCTGGGCTCTGTCGCCCGCTGTCAGGGTGGAGAACAAGCTGCCCGTCTGGTTTCTGGGGAGAGCGAGAACATTCCGTTGGTGGCACCAGAAGAGGAAGTCAGAAAGCAAACAGAAACGAGGGACTGTTCTGGGGACTTTCCTTGTGCCGGGCACGCCGGTGACACCTGACCATCCCACGTGGGAGGCGGCGAGGGCTGACCAGGATGTGAAGATGGAGCCGACAGGGAGAGAGATGTCTGCAGTGCCCTAAGAGACCGAGAAGTGTCACCAGAAGCTTCTGGAAGCTACTTCTCCCGTCTGAGTGGCTCCGCACACACGGAGCCCGTGTCCCCACACGGGCCTGTGCTCCTCGGACGACACAGCCCAGGTTCAGTGACGCGTCCAAACGCCTCGTCTGCATCACTTACCTGCAGCAGGCCACCAGCGCCCCGACGTCAGAGGCGGAGCCCCGGGTCCCCGCCTTCCGTCCAGAAAAGGAGGGAGATGCTGCGAGACAAAAGGAGCCAGGACTGAGATTCCGCTGCGTTCGGCCGAGGAAGCCATGGCTGCCCCCCCCCCAAGACGCGTGCACGCGCAGAACCAAACCGAACCGACGTGGCGAGCCGAGGACAGCGGTGGACGCTGCGCTGTGGCACCCGGATGCCCGTTCCACCCCAGCCGCCGGGAGTGGGGCCTGCAGGACACTTGCCCAGAGCTGCTTCCTGGGTGGCCGTGCAGGCCGGGAGCGGACCGTCGCCTGCTCAGACCACTGGCCTCTCTGAAGGACCTGCCGGGGTTGGAGCTCCTGGGGTGGTCTCCAAGGGCTCTCCCTCTGCCTCCTCCCTCCCAGGGGTGCTGACCCCAACAGACACCCTGCACAATGACCCGTGTCAGCTGGCTTCACGGGGGCCCAGTGTGCAACGAGGGAGTTTTGCTACTTTTTCCCCCAATGCTGTACACCTGCCCTCACCTGCTGTTACTTCTGCCACGAAGACTGAGTGTTAGTCCAACAGAACCACCTTATCAGCGGAACCCTGAAGACATTCCAGCCGCCTTGCCAGAGGCGCGCTCCCCCCCGCTCCACAGCCGGGTCACGAGGAGGGGGTTCGCGTTCCATAGCACTAAGCCGCGAGCCGCGTCTGCGACCGCTTCAACAAGGAGGACGATGACGAGAGGAACAGGACTGAGGGTCGCCAGCCTGTGACCCCCCACTGTGGACATCTGCATCCAGACTGGCAGGGGCTCTGGAGCTTCGCAGGAACCCTGGACCTCGGCAGGGAGTGGAGGGCAGGCGGACATTCCATTCCGGACACCTTCCTTAAATCAAGGCGACTCAGCCTGTAAGGGCTCCCCACTCCCCCAAGGGACAGACAGCCCAGAACTGACCCTCTTCCGTGTACATATTTCAAATGCAACTAAAACGAGGTCGCAAGACGACGAGGGTTATTTCTGTGACGCGGGACAGCTGGCTGGTTTTCAGGGCACCGCCTCCCCTGGGGCTTCGAGGCGGAGGTGCAGTTACCTCTGGCAGCGGGGGACCTTCCAAAGGAATAGCAACGTGAGAAGCCTCAGAGGCAAAGCGCCGTGACAGCCGGGGGGACCTCAGGGGAAAGACACCGCCGTGCGAAAACTTTCAAACACGACAAAAGATGAGAGCGCGAGAAGACGGAAAAACGGGGCTGGGGACAGGATGCTCAATGCACAGAGGCCAGGGGGCCGCTGTCCACCCGGCACGTGCACCATGGACCGGCATCTCCTGTGTGGCTGGCTCACGGGTCCGAGGAAGACGCGGCGCGTTACGAGCGCTTCAGAATGCGCGTCGACGAGCTCACGGATTCCCAGTCTGTGTCAGGACGGGACGGCCGGGAACCTCCCCCCGTTAAAAAGCGGAAAAGGATCTGCACTCGTGGGCGTTATTCTGCTCCCTCGACTTCCCTAGTTTTCCCGATTTGCAAGACAATGAACGGGGGCTTTTTTTCCCTTCCGATTTTTAAGTCATTCCTCAAAAGTCACTCTACCGGCCTAAGAACTTGGATGTCTGCTTTCCTTTCTGCACCGACCCCCCAAACCTAGGCTGCGTTCCCATGGGGCGCCAGTGCTGCTGGATCTCACCTCCGCACCGGTCCACGAGCAGGCCCCTCACGGGAGGCAGGAGGTAGGCGGGGGCTGGCGAGGCCACCGAGTCCCCGGAAAGAGCACCTCCTTGTGCCCAGGACATCCTTGTGGACACTCGGCCGCCCCCCCAACTCCACCCCCATCACACCCCAGGCTGCCAAAGCCTGTCTCGCAGGACAAAGTCCGAGCTGGCTGAGCAGCTGCAGACCGCTGCCTGGTTGTCTCCGAAGAGCGGCCAGCTTCCTCCAGCACGGGGAGGTGGGCTCCTGTTCACAGTTCACGTGCAATGTCCTTCCTCGCTCTTGCTGCTTTAAGCGCCAAGCCACTTGGCATTTCTGGGCAAGGGGCTTGCAAGCTCCCGGGGTGCTTCACTCGCTCCCAATTCGTATGTGGGAGCCCTGACCTCCAGGACCTCCAAATGTGACCTCATTTGGAGATGGGGTCTTCACAGAGGTGATCAAACTGAAATGAGGCCATTAGAGTGGGACCTAATCCAAGACGACCCGCACCTTCACAGAGGGGCAACGTGGAGGCAGAAACACAGGGCCCGGAAGTCGAGGACACCGAGGACCGCCCACAGACCCACGGGGACGAGGGGAGCAGCCGGGGACGGTCTCCCCAACGGCGCCCTGCCCACCCTGGACCTCGGCCCTCCAGCCTCCAGCCTCACCCGGCTCGTGCGGTGGTCTTCCCACACAGAACACAGAACTGGCTCACTTACCGCCCCCATAATTACGTCACACTTAAAACTCTACATGGTACGTGATAAGGAACATCCCTCCCCCTCTCCCATAGCAAACCGATTTGAGTATCAAGCACGAGGGGAGGGTTTATTGAGATAAACGGCCAGACACCCACGATGGTTTCCTTGCGGGCCTGTCCATTCTCTATGCATCTGTGGGGTCCTAGCTGGCACCTGACACACGTCCAGTCGTGGTGCAGTTCGCCGTGGGCGGCCGGCGTTTCTGACCGTCCCTCCCGCCTGGGTGGAGGCTTCTGTCTGTCTGCGTGTGCCGACGGGAGGCCCGCTGTGTCTCTGAGCTACGGGGACTCCCGCACCTGTGGTCCCTCCTGCACTGGGCTTCTGCTCTCTCTGGTTGGAGCTGGTGGCCTTTCTGCAAACCCTTTATGTTTGTAATTATTACATAAACGGACGACCACACGTGACCCGAGAGCAGCTTCCATGACACCCGAGAGGAAGGTGACTCACTCGAAAGCGGGCTGGCAAACGACCACATTCAGGAGCGACTCCGGCCTCGAGCTGCTTCACTGAGTCCTTGGGTTGTGGCTCGATTTTAAACTGGAAATCGGGATGCATTCCACTTGCGGTTCCGGCCAGACGCTGCTGTGAGACCACATGCAGAGAGGGCCTTTGCTCCACGTTAGAAAGAAGGGAAGACGGACGTTTGGGTTTTTCCTTCTTTAAAATAATTCTCTTCCAGGTTTTGACTAACGTTTCCAAGTCGCTGACCAGTTACTCCAGGACCTCGCAGAGTGACCCAGCTCCCTGTTTTGGGATCCCTCGGTGGGGCTAGAGATTTAAGTCCCAGGTCTTGACAACTGCCACTTAAAAGGTGACAAAGGGGACCTTCCCAGGGAGGTCCTTAGACTTCCCATTCCGACCCCGTGACATCTCCTGTGAGCAAATGGGGAGGCGGCAGCCGGTCAGTGAGGGCTTCTGGGATGACGCAGAGACACACGGTGGGTTCACATTTCAGCCCTCCCCTTTTACTAGCTCGGTGACCTTTGCTGAGTCACCTAACTTGATCCTGGGCCTCGGTTTCCTCAGGGGTAACACAGGGCTCTGCACGCCAGGCGGGGGCACCCCCACGGAGCGTGGCCCTCTCTCGTCCTCTCTTTGCTGCTGGCCGGTGCACCACGCCGAGGGCAGGGGCTCCGCCTTTCTATCCTTGGAAACATAAGGACACTCACCCCCGGCATCACGCGGAACGGGCGATGTGCTTTTCTGTTTGTTGCTGTTTTTCTTGACGGCACCGTGAGGTCGGCGAGGCAGGCGTCATCGTGCCCGTGGCAGCAGATGAGACAACAGAGGCCACGTGGGAAGCTGGGAGCGATCGCACCCAATGCAGCGGCCCGGCCAGCGCCAGTGACTCCGACACACGGGGTCACGGAGACGGCGAGGCGGGCGCAGTGAGACGGGACGTCTCCGAGCGCCGCGCGTCCCGCTGCCCTTGCTCCACGACGGGGCTTGTAAGCCCTCCCGCGTCCTCTGACGTGGGAAGGAGTGAGCTCCCCGCCTGCCCCGCAGGGAGTTTCTGTGAGTCCTGGCAGAGGGCGAAGGGTACACGGCCTCCCCACAGGCGCTGAGGAGGCTGACGATATTCAGGACGGGCTAGCGCGTTAAAGCTCAGACCCCATCTGAACGCGGACGCGCCCGGCTCCGCTGCCCACCCTCACCCTCACTGCTCACCCGGACTCGCCCTCCAGCCCCTTGGCGCCTGGCGGGCTGGGGACCCACCCCGCCTGCAGCCCTGGACCCCACACGCGTGGTGCCAAGCCCCGGCCGGTTCCTTCCTTCCGGAACCTTCCCAGCCAACCCTTCCTTGGAGTGTCCTCGAAGGGAGATGCGTCTCCCAGGGGGAGCCATCTGGCCTTTCGGGTTCTCCCTCATGGGGGTCACCCGGAAACCCGTCACCCCAGCAACGGTGACGGAGGCGGGACTCGGGGAAACGCAGCCCGGTCGGCCTGCTGACTGGTCCCAATTCCCTAGGAGGCCCCCGGCCCCATTCAGCTTCGCAAAGGGGGGTCACGGGGCCCTCTGCCCACCTGGCCGTCAGGGCCGTGTTGACACCCACTGTTCAGTGAAGCAGCCAAAGGGATGGAGCAGGGGGCAGGAGACGGATTTTATAAGAGGCCGTCAGACGACGCATAATTCATTACCTGACTACGCGTCAGACCAGCTCCCCGTCCCCCTCCAGACAACAAGCCGCACCCTCACACGCAGATGTGGAAACTGGGTCCGAAACAGAACCGCCGGAACATACATTTTCTGAAGCCCGAACCCAAATAAAGTCCTAAGAGGACTGTCTGACCGTTCCCCAAAATGAACCCTCCGGTTCTGGTCTCTTCGTCAAGACGAGCGGCGGAAACGCGAGGCGGCCCCAGCCTCAGAGACCCTCCTTCCGAAACAAGTTATTTTTCAAAAAGCGATCTCAGAAAAAAATGCTTTTGCTTTTTGTTTTTAAACGCAAACTTGAAGAAGCCACCGCTGCAGTGGTCTGCATGTGGGGAGACACTGTCATTGCCGGTTGCAGGGTTGGGTGACCACCCCGCCCCCCGCCCAACAGCGAGGCTGGGCACAGGGCACGGCCACCTGGGGTCACTTCCCTGACGGCTCCCCAGGCTCCTAAGAGCGGGGTGAAACGTGTGTGAAACAGGTTCTGTCGGAAC